TATGGTACAATGGTAAGGATATGCAGTTATTGACACGAATTAGGGATGGCTACTACATCCAGAAAACAAGGAGCAAAAATGAAAACTTCAGAAGGGATGCTTTATTCTGATTTTTGGGCTGAGTGATGAATGTATGGATATTTATTTTTCTTTAACATATATGCACATATTATTTTATGTGATATTTTGTGATTTTAGATAGTTAATGAGATGAGTATTCTAGGCAGGGAAAAAACCCCTAAACCTGTCATTTAAAAACCAAGAACTGGACATGGTGGCATATGCCTCTGACTTAAGCTTTCTGGGAGGCTGTCAGGAGAATCTAAAATTTGAGCCCAGCCTGGGTAATTTGCCAACCTTTGAGGCCTGTCTTAAAAAAAAAGTGCCAAGGCTCTGGGTCTCAGTTTGCACACATATACACCCCCTCCAAAACAAAACAAACTAAAAAAGAGAGCAAGACGGTTTTGTTACACCAGCTCTTCATGCTGTGGCATTTCCCAGGTGGTTTCCACTTCACTGGGTGTGCATCTCACCCAGAAATACTAGGCCTATTGTGGTTTCCAAGGAGCAGGCTGGCTGCATTTCTGGTACCTGTGGGACTTCTTTTTGAAAACAGGAATCTTTATCCATCCAGGTAAAGTGATAGAAATTTGTAAGAAGAGCTCTGGGGTTTCTGCAGGTGTTACCTCCATCCCTGGAGAGAGACCTCCAAAATCTTGCCTGCAGAGGGAGCATAAAGAGAGGGCTTTGGAAGGGAGTTGTGGGCTGACATCACAGACATGCAGAGCTGTATTCCCACAGAGGCCTTCTGCAGAGCAGGTAGTGGTAATAACCCAGTGGTTTTGTGAGGCCCAACTTCAAGCAAGCACTACTTGGCAAGGATAGTAGGAAGGAGAGCTGAGAAGTTGCCTGGTTTGCAAGCTCAGCTGTCCTTTGGCCACTATTTTGAGCTCAGGTCACCTTCCTCTTCAGCCTGAAGGAGAAAAGATGAAAAAAAAGCCATATGTGGATTGGTGATGTTTTGTTTGTGTGTTTGTTTTTCATTTGGAGCCACTTCATATGTTTACTTAGTGAATGCACTTTTTTTCTTTCGGCAAAAATATGAGTGTCAGTTTCCACCCCCAACTTGAAAAATCGAAATAGAGCAATAGTCTTAGCAAGGGTGCCTAGAGAGAGGGCTCCAAGCGTGTACAAAACTGACATTGATTTCTTTGCCTGGAAATAAAAAAAAAAAGTCTGTGAGTCATCTTTGGATTTGCATTACAAACAATGCAAATGGGTGCTGCTCTGCCTGCATAGCTTACAGATTTCAAAAATATGTTTTGATTTGATGCATTTCAAGACTAATATGCAGTTAACTAAAAATCCTAAAAGTTTCTAGTTAAATATTCAGAGTTTGAGTTTTTGCTTGTGTTGATGACTCATTTTCTCTTTTGTTTTCTGTTTTTGATTTACCTTAACCTACTGCTGACTCACGTCACCCAACCAACATACAATGCGAAAACTCATGTCTCCGTCTGTATGTTGCGCACCTGCTGCCCAAACCACCCTAATTTGTAAATAATACGCAAATACCCATCCATGAAAACATCACATATAGGAAACGGTTGGTTTCATGACTTTAAACAGTTCTTATGATTCCTTCCTCTGCCTGCTCTGCTTTACTTCTCTCATTTTCTGGGTTCCTGCCATTGCCCTTTGAGGCATGGCTGGATTCTGCTGCACCCACTCACCTCTAGCCTCTTGTGCACTCTCCCCAGCACCCAGGACCCAGTAGGGCTTCTGAGGGCCTCCCAGAAGCTGTCTGAATCTAGGACCAAGCCAGGGAGGGAAAGTAGGTGATTCTGCAGTGGTGGTGGTGGGGTAAGTTCCCAGGACAGATTTTCTTGCCTAGCCTGGCAGGAGGATACTGCTCTGGGTCCCTGCAATTCTGTGGTTTCTGTTGCAGATTTATCTCCTCTCTGCTGTTCCTATCTGTCCAACCAAGAAGGTTTGGCTTTGCCTCGTTGGCTGCTGAAGTGCCCTGTAGCAGGTGTCCTTCCTGAGCAAGTCCTTCTGCAGGGGTCAAGCCTGAAGTATAGGTTTGGACTCCATGATTCAGAAATGCTGTGAAGGGTTTGACTAGAAGCAGGTGCCCTGTACTAGTAGATAGCGGAATGCAGAGCTTCCAGCCATGTGTCACTAGCCTATAGAGTGCAGGTGCACCTGAGGCCCCCTGCCAGGTTTCAAGAATTTGGGGGCAAAAGTAAGGGTGTTTGGTACAACTTAGCCTCAGCTGTGGCTATCAAAATTCATCTCAAGGAGCAGATACTTGAGATACCTTTTATAGAGGCTGTAGGCTTGTCATGTAGGTTTTTATAACTGGAATGGAAAGCTTGAGTTTTGAAAGAACAGCATTAGATGCTGCAGAAGTATCCAGGTCATCAGCTCAAGCCATCTTTTCCCATCCTCCTTCTGGCACATATGACCAGCAGATGTGTGGCAAATGTGTATATGCACATTTTCTTTCCTTTTTTATCCATCAATCCCCACTAGAATGAAGGTAAGACAGCAACTTGCTTATGATCGCAGGATCTCCTCCAACATGGTGCATGGCCAGCAGTGTCCACAGGTCTAGCCCGAGTGCCCAGTTGACAATCAGGAGCAAGCCCCCACATCCTTGTGACTATAGCCAGAGACCGTGGTGGCCTTGGGTGCCAACTGCTGAACCTTGGGCGGGATGACCTTTGTAGGGCAGCAGCCTCCAGAGTTGGCACATATTGTAGTTCATGTCCTCAATTATCTCTTACTGCCTGGACATGAATGACCCTAGTGCCTGAGCATGTTTTTGGGTGAGGGTTAGGTGATGTCCGTCCACTTAAATGAGTCTTCCTTAAATAGAGTGATGTCTGACTGAAAGTGAGGTGGCAATAAGGACCAATTGGGCTTTGAATTGGGTGTAGCAGCTTCCTGTGCAGCAGAAACCACAGATCCTGGGAGGATATGGCAGGTTGCATCCACCTCTGAGAGGTTGACCAGGGCCAGAGGTGATGGTACATGGTGCACAGCCCTGTGCTTGCTGTTTCCTGCCATCCTGCATGTAAGTTACCCCGCCCATTACTGTGTGTGGGTGTCTGTAGCTATTGCCATCTGTCTTCACGGCACTCCAGGGTTGTCTGTCTGTTGCCAGGTAGCAGACCCTTTCCTGAATACCCAGCTAGGAGAAGGGGTGGCAACCTGTTCCCAACACAGGATGTTATGTGTCTCCACTTCAGGTCCTTTAGGTGAGCTGTTATTCTTCATAACTTGTTCTCACTTTCTCTGTTATCTTTTATTCTTCCTTACATTCCAGGGGCTGTCAGTTTCCCCAAATCTTCAGGAAATCATGTCTGTGCCAGCCACCCAACTGCAGATGACTTTAAGCTGGGCAGGCACAGTGTTACAATCCTTGTCCCTTCAGACTCACCTGAGCATGTCCTCTCAAAGTGGAGCCCCAGAGAGGTTGGATACCTGTCCCTGCCCTCCAGCATCTTGTACAGGGATTGCCTAACCTGGACACAGTGTCCTATCCCCCACCTGTATGCTAAAGCTGGGCTTGTTTGTATCTCCTCAGGGCCCACAGTGGCCACTGAACATTCTTGGCCACCATGTCTGACAAGATTCTCTTTCCTTGTCTATGTGGGTCAGGGAGCTACAGCTACGGTGGTACCTCTTTAAGGATTGTGGCCTGAGGCCTGTCACACCTTGCTGATGTGGACAGTGGGGCCTCTTGTGCCCCCCGAACCCTCTGGCATTGTTCAGGGTCAGTTTCATGTGCAGAGCTTCCACATGCCACTTGGGTCCTTCTAGGAAACTTGAGTCTCCTACTGCAGCAATAGTCTAGAGACCCTGAGACCATAGTGGGAATCACAGAAACTGTCCTCTGATCATGGAGGTGGCAGGCAGAACAGAGATGTCTTTGAAGTCATTGTGAGGCCCATTCCTCCATGAACTCCTCAACTGGCCAAGACAGGCAGCCCTGGAGCATCTACCCCGGTGTCCCTCCCACCCATGCTTGCATGTGCTCTTTCTCTACTGCTGTCTCATTCAACACCTGCAACATCTGTGTTCTCTTTTCTCTTTATTCAATCAATGAGTATGACAACACAAATGTGCCTGAGCTGCTTGCATATTTAAAAATACCAAATCAGCAGGAACTTACCCTCAGACCAGGTTCTGGGTCTCAAAGTTAGATAGGCAGAAAGTGCCTGGCTCTACAGAGCCACACTCTCTTAAAAAAGGCTTGCCAATAATCCAAGGTGCCTGGTGCTCCCAGGTAAACCTCACTCCCAGGTAATCTTTGGAATCTGGGTTTACCAGTTTATCACTGTGCTTGATTTTGAGAAGCACTAAATAGTATGGGTTCTCTGGAGCAAAAACCTGTGGACTGAAGGTTGTACAGGTAGCTTCCACGGCAAGAGCTGCAGAGAGGCTGTACCTGCCCTTTCCCTGACCAGAGAACCCCTGGGGGAGGCGGCTGGGGTTCCAGGCAGGCCTGGACTTCACTAGCTCAGCCTGGAAGGGAAGGATGTAGCTGCCAAACCTGGGCAGGGGAGTCCCTTTCACAGTGTCCACTGGAGAGGCAGTTGCTCTCAGCTTGTCACCTGGACATCTTGGCTGTGTCCTGTGAGAGGTGGTCCCCAGATCTCTTCTCTTAGGCTTACCTGGCAGCAGAGAGTTGCTTCAGGGAGCTTCTGTCTCTGTCCCTCATCACTGAAGGGTAGCCCTAGAGTAGAGAGGGTATTTGCTGCATGAGAAATGACTCATAGTGACAAGCTTTTCTTTTGGAAGGTTTTTTTTTCTCTTTTCTTTTTTTTTGGTGGCCAGTTGCTGCTTAGACTGTGAAGCAGTACCTGTTTTGATTTCTTTTTAAGCACTTGTCCTTGAGGGACTCAGGGACAGCGCACAGGGTAAAAGCAGCTTGCCTGCACTTTTTGAGGGGTGATTTCTGAAGGTCAGAGAGCAATCCTCTTTCTCTGCAGAACAACTTCATCAACCTCAGCTTCCTGCGTCTCTTCAGAGCTGCACGGCTCATTAAACTGCTCCGCCAGGGCTACACCATCCGCATCCTGCTGTGGACTTTTGTCCAGTCCTTCAAGGTGAAGTGGGGTGCCAGTGTGGGTAGGGTGGGACAGCTCTCTGCAGGTAATTTCCGTTCCTCTTCCTTTGTCACCTTTCCTGCCCTCTAACCCCCAGAAATTCCCTCCTTTGACAGGCTGCATAGGAGTAGGGATGTGTGTGTCTTCATTGACAACTGTGGTCCTATTGCAGCTTATAAAAGTATTGTGAGTGACTTTTAGATTATCTTAATGCCCACAGAAACTCTAAGGTGAAGTTTATGATCCCAATTTATAGAAGAAGAAACAGAGCTGTCCTTTGGCAGAGGGGCCTGATAGGGAGTAGAACTGTGTCAAGCTAAGATCTGCAGGGCCTCAGACACAGCTGGGAGCTGATGTGCCTGTGTCTCCAGGCGCTGCCCTATGTGTGCCTCCTCATCGCCATGCTGTTCTTCATCTACGCCATCATCGGCATGCAGGTAGGTGCTATCTGCTCATATTGGGCTGTGCCCAGGGCTCCTGTTCACCGGAGCATGAGGGCATGGATTATGATCATTAAATGATGATAATAATAAGCTGACACTTAACTGAACATTTGCCGTGAGCCAGGTACTGAGAAACCTGGATCTTCAGAAGTACTGTTTCAGGTAGAGAGGCACCGAGGCTAGGCCACTCCCAGCATCTCTTTGTGAGGGATAGACCAGCTCTCTGCCTACTCCTGACCCTCTGGAAAGCCATGCTGTAGTGTTCTTGAGGGTAGCCTTCAGGGCCAGAAATGTTAAGGTGTTGGGCTGGATTTGGAGCAAATCTCAGGATGCAAAGCAGCATCCTTTCCATTCTGTTGTACTGCAGGGAAGGACAGCTCCTGACACATCACAGGAGTTGTGCTCCCAAGGAGTCTGCTGGGGCGTGCGAGTATGACGCCATCAGGTCACTGCACTGTGACAAATTCATCTCACATAATTTAGCAGATCTTTATTTTGCCAAAGAATACTTTGTAACCATTCTAGGGGTGGGAATTTTGAAAACAGTCTTACTCTAAATAAAGTTTAGGCATCTTGTCACTTCCCAATATCAGAAGTTATTTTGCCAAAGAATACTTTGTAGCTATTTTGGGAGTGGGGATTTTGAAAACAGTCTAGTTCTAAATAAAGTTTAGGCATCTGATCACTTCCCAATATCAGGAGTTCCAATTTGTGATTGGAAGTGTAAGTATCTTAAAGTTGAACTGAATTAGTTAAACTCTAATTATAGAGATTGAAAAGTTCTTTCAGTTTAAAATTTGCGTATAATTTTGATTTGGCTTGTGAATGTATGTATGTTGCTGATCTTTGTGGAAATGTGATAGTTTGTAAGTCTGTAGCCAGGTTCTAGGTTTTAGACTGAGTATGGTCCTTGACTCATTTATATTTTTTACCCTGAATAAAATTGGTTAGAATGGATAAAAAGCCTGCTCCACAATTTGCATGAAGGTCTTGCAAGAAATTCTCCAGTGATCCTCCAATTCTCAGAATGATTATAATATAACTCCTGATTTAGAGTGTTGACCAAGCATGACCTGAAATGGATCTTGTCCTATGTTTAATAGAGACAAGCCCCATCCCAGGGACAGGCTGGAGCTGGCAGATACAGAGCTCTGGGACATGAGTTTTCAGCTAGCAAGTGGTTATCTATTGTAGAAATGCACATTGGGCCCTGGGCAGCCCCCAAGTTGCATGTACACCTATTCCAGCTCAGCCTTCTGCCATGGCTTCCAGGACTTGCTGTGTAAGCATGCTGTGGTTCTCCATTTCAGGTGTTTGGAAATATTGCCTTGGACGATGACACTAGCATCAACCGGCACAACAACTTCCGGACATTCTTACAAGCCTTGATGCTGCTGTTCAGGTGTGTTGTGTGGTCAGTCCAGGCCAGTGTCCATGTTTCTTCAGGATAGAGGAGGATGGGTGCCATGTGGTGACCCCTCCCTCCACCCTCTGCTTCCGCTTGGTGGATCTTTGCCATTCTTTTTCGCCATTCATCCCATTATTTTAAAAGGGCTCCTGCTGGCTGCCACAGCCTCAGACTGAAAAAAGCCCCTCAGGGAGAGAACTGGGGATCTCTGGGCCAGTGTGCACTACACTGCCTTGTTTCTGCTCCCTGGTGACATCTTAGTGGGCTTCAGTGAAGCTAAGAGGATAGAAGGTGCCTGACAGGGTCTTTCTTGGAGTGTTGTTCTCTAGCTTTCCTTCTATACCTTTACTGATCAGGGGTGGAGAGGGTGATGGAGAGGTAAATTTTAGGGAGAACAGCTATGTACAGTTAGCAGCTCTGCAGTGGCCCAAAGAGTCCAGCTGGCCAGAGCTGCTTGTCTGAATGCATCTCTGCCTCCTACCCTCAGTTCCTGGATACAGCTGAGCAGAGCACCAAGGTGGGAGGCAGGTGCAGGAGGCCTTTGATACAAGCTTTGGAACTTTCAGGTGCTTTCTTGGAAGGAGGGTCAGTAGTAGCTGTTGTTCCCAGACAGAAAAGACCCTCTGTAGACTAGACATTGACCCACCTCATCTGAGAGTGACCTTTCAGATAAGGAAGAGGGATGAATGTATTTTCTTGCCTTCGGAGTCTCATTTTGCCACTCATGATCCTGGAGCAGAGGGAAAAGGGCTTTTTGCAGGGATTTATAGTGAAGATGCTGACTTGTTCCTATATACAAATATGCAGAGCTGCTGCAGAACCAGCCTTGGGATTGTCTCTATGCCCTCTCTCTCAGGCAGTTTCCTGGGAGGAGGGTAAGCTGAAACCAAAACTTGCTTTGCTAAGATGCCTGGAGAACATTTTCTGTTTCTTGTTTCTTTGCATGAGGTGAACATGTATCTTCAGGTATATGCTTTCCCCAAATCATGTTTCTCTTGGTTTCATTTGCATTAATTTTCTTTCTTCACTTATTCTGCTATATGCCACAAAGATATGAGGCAAACCTGTGATGTCAGTCTTAGTTTTACGTCTTTGTTTTCAAAGGTTTCTGCTATCCCTGAGCTCTTGTCAGGTTGAAGTGTGTCCAAGGTGTTGGAGGAAAGGAAGCTGGAACAGCTTATGTATAGATAGAGGTGGATGAGGTTGGGAAAAAGAGTAGACTCTGGCAGCCCAGAACTGAGCAATGTCAAGATCCATCCTGTCTTCTGTCCCTGCTGGGCTGCCATGCAGGCAGAACCATTGTGGCGGCTTAGGAGGCTCACTGCTGCCTGGCCCCAGCTGAATAGAGAAACCTTAGCTGATTTCTCAGGGCATCCAAGCTGATGGGCAGGATTTAGAGACAAAGGTGTGCAGTAGTTTTCACCAAAGTAGCTGGAATGGTAGAGTCCTGCTTCTTGAAATGAAGAGATACATATTGGGAAATCAGGAGTATGCTGGACCTGTTGTGTCTATCAAAGAGTGCTTACTGTGGCACCAATCCTAGTCCAGTAGACTCTTAGTAAAAGCTTTCTCAGGTAATGGTCAGTTTGGGAATCTAATGTCAAAGGAGTCTTTTGAAGTAACAGTCATCTGTCACATAGGCCTTACCTAAATGTGGGAACTTAGGAGTGGGGTGCATTCACACAGTTCTCCAAGAGCCCAGCTCCCTCAGCTCATGGCGAGTGTGCTGCAGACCTTACCTTGTGGCCTCACTGTAAGCTCCCACCTCTTCTCTTCTCAGGAGTGCCACAGGAGAGGCCTGGCATGAGATCATGCTGTCTTGTCTGAGCAACCGGGCCTGTGATCCACATGCTAATGCCAGCGAGTGTGGGAGTGACTTTGCCTACTTTTACTTCGTATCTTTTATCTTCCTTTGCTCCTTTCTGGTAAGTCTTGGTCACTGTACTTGTGTTTACCTGTCTCAGTTCATCTTGAGGCTCCATATCTTTTGGTCCTTGGCTTTGACCCATACACATCACCAACTGATTGCATAGTGAGGTCCTCCATTCCCTCAGAGCCAACAACCTCAGAACCCAATGAGAATGAGCTCCTGCAGGCCCTTACTAACTTCCATGGAAGGATTAGGTTTCCAGGGGAAAGTTGCCCATTGGTTTCCAGCTGCTAGAAAGGTGTTCACTGTGTGATGGGATGTGGAAAGGAAGCCAGCATGACAATAATGGGATTGGATCAGAGAAGGTGGACTGATGGGTCCCAGCAGTGTTGGTCCTATTCTAGGTCACTGGGACCCTGGAGCCTTGGAACAGGTGTGTACCATGATCTGCTCAGTGTTTCACAGTTTGGCTCTGGTAAAGGAAGGGGCCACAGAGTAAGTAGGGAGGCAGTGGCTTAGTGTATGAGGGCTAGGTTGCTAATTTACAGGTAGAACTGACCTCATTAAGAAAAAGAAAATGAAACTGCACTTTAAAAAAAGCCCACACCTGGAATCTTCTGGGAAATGGGTAACATTGGTAGCTCTTTCTGAGTTCTGTGGGGGCATTGCAGGTGTGGGTTGGGGACAGAGGAGATACAGATGCTTCACAGACCTCTGGACTAGAGATATGAATGAGTTGCCAGTGGTGTTTGAATTGTCTGTGGGGCTGGAAGATATCCTCTAGGTCCTTGCTGTAAAGTGTGTTCCAGAAACCTATGCATAATTTAAGCATTGTTTGAGTGCTAGTTAGAAATACAGATTCCTGGGCTCTCTCCAGGCTCGCTATATCAAGATTTCTGTGACAGGAATCTGGGAATTTGAGTTTCAATGAGTTCAGGGGTAATTCTGCAAGTGCTACACTTTGAGGAGCATTGATATAAGGAAAGATGAAAATTGAGAAGAAGGCAGAAGATTTCTGTCCCTGCTACACAGGAGATAGATAGGAGCACTGAGTCCTGAAGCTGAGAGAGGGCACCTAGGCAGGTAGAGAGCAGTGGTCCAGAGGGAGGGAATAATGTACGCTCTGACATATTGTTAGAAGGTAAAGTGAGACAGTGTTTAACAATGGATGATGGAGGTGGATGGTGATCCTTGCAGAAACAGTTTTTGTGGCATGATGGAAAAGGAAATTTGGCAATGCATTCAAGCTCAGTGAGCAGTGAGGGGCATAACAGGGACAGACCCCGCTCCCACCAAGCACAGTGCTGAAGGGTTTCTTATGTCCACAGCCATGACCTAGAGTGGGGCCAGCCAGCACAATTGTGCTTTCTCTGGCCACAGTCAGCTCCTTGAAATCCATGGGTAGAGATGTTCGGTATCCAGATTTAAAATTTTCCAGACAAGTGTAACGTGGAGAGAAGGGTGTATGTGAGAATGCGGTCCTGGTACTGGAAGTAAGGTCAGAGGCACTGGGTTGGAGGTTCTTGTAGTGATGAAGTCTTAGGGCAAATGGATTGGAAGGCTAAGTAACATGGTTAGGGTATGGAACATGTGAAGTGAAGACTGGGGAGAGCTGATAGCATCATTGTCAGTAGTCATTAGGAATAACCAACCTTGGCATATTTTAGGAGTTAGGAAATGGCTTAGGTTGAAAAGCCCACCAGTGGGAATACCAGGCAGTGATCAGCCCATCACTGTGGGCCTTGAAAGCAACATGAATGATGATGACAGTAGAGGACATCTAGGTATTAAATTATCCACATAATCGAGAAGAGGTTAGTAGAGGACATGAGTAATGAAGTACAGAGTTCTAAAAGCGAGCAGAGGGAGGCTATCTATACTTCTGCTGGAATGAGAAAAACTGGAGACTGTTCAGGGAAGATGAAGGTAGTAGGATTTTTACAGAGTGTGGCCCTTGAGTTTCAGAAGCCACCATCTTAAGAAAGCCAGGGTGGTCAGGAAGGCATGTACCTAAAATACATGCACTTCACATTAAATAGAAACAGAAGACTTGAAAGACTGTGTCTCATTAATTGTCAGAAATCAAGTGGACGATTGCATTTTGGGGTCATCTCCTTATCCCTCAGAAGACCTGATGAGTAGTAGGAAGGTGGCCACTCTGGAGAATCACTATCCTGGAAGCATTTTGAGCATTGGCTTATGTACAATACCATTTGAAGACTGGTGCTGTGAGAACTAGCCCACTTGTGAACATAAAGCCTAGCCTAGCCCTGGTCTTACTGTACCTGACTGCAGAGATGGGGCTCTCCAGAGAGTCATGTTCCACAGTGCTGTCTGTCAAGGGTGAGTTGAGGAATCCCTGGTTTAGGTGTCACCCTTCTCCAGAGGAGTAGGTGATTGGCAGTTATTGTCCTTTATGTCTTGGCTCTCTATTTGACCTGCTGCCTTGTCCTTAACTGACATGGAGAAAGGGTGTGGACCAGAGCTTCACCTCTTGGTACTTACTAAGGGGTTCAAGCTGCTGGGCAATTCATGCTTTCAAATACACTGGCATTGCAGAAAAGTAAAGAGGAAAAAAATGGAATTATGATTTTGGAGTGTGTGGCAGAAGGGGTTAGGGCTAGCAGTTGGTTTACCTTTACAGAAATTGAAGAATGTTGACAGTAATACAAGGTGATGTTGATAATGACAATCTGCTGATAATTGTTGAGTCACACATTTTGCTGTCTTATGAATACATTAAATATTTCAGTTGTGGTAACAATTTTAAGGTTGGCATTTTTATCACAATGAAGAGGTGGAGACTTAGAGATGTGAAATTCTCAGGCAACCTGCATTTTGTAACCCAAGCTGTTAAAGTGAATAAACTCCTAGATACAAATGACCACCACTGACTTATGGAAATGTAGAAGATCTGAGCAGACTTACAAATATGGAGATTAAGTCAGTAATGACATACCTTTCCATAAAGAGAAATCCAAGACCAGTCAGTGGTGAAAGGGCAGTCTTTTCAACAACAGTGTTAGAAAACCTGAATATGTGAAAGACCAAAGTTGGATTCTTACCTTATACTCTATATAAAGTGAACTTTAAATTAATAAAAGAACTAAATTTAAAAACCAGAACTATAATGCTTTTAAAGAAAATATAGGGCATAAATGTTTATCACCTTGTATTTGTTAGATTTGACACTAAAACTATAATGAAACAAAAGTAGGTAAATTGAACAATTCAAAATTAAAAACTGCTTTGCATCGAAGAACACTACCAGTAGAATAAAAAGCAACTGTTGTGATTTGTGTCTAGATCGCCCCTTAAAGCCTCATTCAGTCAAGGAGGTAAGCTTCTAGAATTTGTGATTGATTCATGGTTCTGTATTGGGATTCTGGGTGTGAGTGCTATATCTGCCATAGGGTAGGTATAGCCTACATGCAATATAATGGGTAAAGTCTTCTTTTGTGCTCCTCCCTTTTTGCTCTTGGTGCTTTTGCTGTTTTCTACCTCTGTGAACTGTTTCCCTCTGCCATTTGCCACTCTGCCTTAGAGCCAGCCAAATATGAACTGAAACCTCCACAAACTGTGAGCTAAATAAATCTGTCCTACCCTAATTTGGAGCATCAGGTATTTTGTCTCAGCAATGAAAGAAAAGTAACCAAGACAGAATTTGGTACCAGGAGTGGGGTCATTGCTGTGACTGTATCTGACCATGTGGTTCAAGAGCCTTTGGAAATGGCTTGTGGGAAGAGTTTGAAAAGGTTCAGGATGTTATCTGAAAGAGTAGAGCTGTAACACCTTAGGCTGTTCTGTATGGGAAATTTTGATCAGAGCTCAAAGGACCAGAAGGCTGATAGAAATCCTGCCAGTCATCAGGGATATAGCTCAGTGACATAAGTGCCTGCCTGGCTAACACAAGGTCCTGAGTTCAGCTCTTAGTACAAAAAAAAAAAAAAAAAAGAGAAATCCTGCAAGTAAGGACCAGGCTCCAGAGGTTTCTGCTGGGAAGAAGAACTGCATTGGTTGTTGAACTCCAGAAAATATGTGTTATGGCTTGGCAGAAGGGTGTTCTCTATTTTGTTCATGTCCTCAGACTTTGTCTGAAACTAAGATTAAGGGTAGCAGACTAATCTAGCAGAGGAAATTTCAAGTCAAACATTGAGGCTGTGGCATGACTGTGGCATTGGAGACTTTTTGCCAGATTTATGTTGCAAATCAAGGGCAAAGAACGTAGCAGGATGATTTGAAATGTGAGTTTGGTCAAGAAAAAAGCTCCAAAAAAGATGTGGACTGCAAAGATAGAGCTGAGAAAATTTTGATTGCTCAGAAGGAATAGGAGAATATGAAGTTGGCTTGAGGGCATCACAAGAAGCAGCAAGTCACCACTCTTTGCTGCCTCAAAACTGCAAAAGTGAAAAACTTTGCTTTGAGGAGAAAGCCTCAGGACTCATGTTCGTGAATGGTGGCAGCTGTACCAGGTTCTGGAATGGTGGTGTAGAAGATCTGAGCAGACTTATAAATACGGCGATTAAATCAGTAATGAAATACCCTGCCACACCAGGTTCCAAAATGGCAGCTACCATACCAAGTTCCAGACTGACAGGCCTAGAGAATATGTTCCTCAGAATTCAAAGTGGATTCAGAGTGCCCACTGATTCAGGCACTCAATCACTACAACCAAGAGTGAAGAAAGCCTTGCTACTGTTCCAGCTGGCAGTGAATCTTGGCATCATCCATGTGGTGCTGGCTTTAGGTGCAGGCAGAATGCAAGAGTTCTGAGGTTTAAAGGCTTGTACCCAGATTTCAGAAGGCCTGGAAGGCATTGTGCTCCTGAGAAGCAATATGTGAAGCTGTGAGAGCAAAACCAAAAGTACAGTGGAGACCCCAGAAGTTTAGAAAAGCTAGGAATGTGAATCATCTAAGAAAAGCTGCAAGAATTGAGCAAAGTGGGCCTAAGAGAGAAGCCATGGGAGGTATAGCCACTGGAAATGCCATACAAGTGAAGTCACATAAGCCTTTTGGAGTCCAGAACTTACCATAGATTGCTTCAGATGTTCCCAATGGAACTGCCAGACTTAATGTTTACCCTGCTCGATTTCAGACTTGTTTTGGCTCCAATACTTTATATTCCCCTGTTTGTAACTTTTGGAATGGAAATGTCTATGTTGGGCCACTGAATGTCAGGAGTGTTTGACTTTCTTTTCATTTACACAGAGCCTCACAACCGAGAGTTTGCCTTAAATCTCAGAGGAGACTTCAGACTTGTACTTTGCAGCAATGCTGAAACTGTTAGGATTTCGGCAGCTGTTAGAGATGGACTAAATGACTTTTGCATAATGGATGTGCATGAATCTTTGGAGGGATCAGAGGTGGAATGTTATGGTTTGTGTCTGGATGTCCCCCAAAGTGTCATTTCAGTCATAGAGGCAGGCTTCCAGAGTTTTTAATCAATTCATGGTTCAATGTTAGGATGATGGATGTGAGTGCTACACCCCCCCAGGGTGGATGTGGCCTATATACAATATAAGGGACAGAAAAAGTCTTCCTTGTGCTCCTTCCGTTTTGCTCTTGTTGCTTTTGCTGTTTTCCACCACCAGTTGCCTTCTGCCGTGTTCCACTCTGCCTTGGAGCCAGCCAGATATGAACTGAAACCTCCGCAAACTGTGAACTAATAAATAAACCTTTCCTTCCTTAGTTTTGGGCATTTGGTATTTTGTCTCAGCAATAAGGCAAAGGTAACCAAGAGAGCAAACTAACATACTGTGGAAAATATTTGCAAATTATATATATGATGGAGTGTTAACATCAGAATGCATAAAGAACTCAACAACCCAAGTAAGAAAGGGGTAAAGGGCTGAATATGGCAGCTACTGGGGAGGCTGAGACAGGAAGTTAGCAAGCTCCAAGGCCAGCTTGGGTCATTTAGCAGAACCTGTCTCAAAGTAAAAAAATAAACAGTGTTGGGAATGTAGCTCAGTGGTAGCACTGCTAGGTTTGATCCCCAGCACTGTCTAGAATGAGGAGAGGGGTACAAAGGATTCAAATGGATGTTTTCACCATGGCAGATGAAAAGATAGTGAACATCACTGATGATAGGGAAATGCAAATCTAAGCCATAATGAGATGTCATTTCATATTCACTAGTATTACTATTGTAATTTTTTAAGTGTAGAAAAGGGCCAGGAATTTAGCTCAGTGACATAAACACCTGCCTTGCAAGCATGTGGTCTTGAGCTCTATCCTCGTACCAAAAACAAACAAACAAACAAACAAAAAGATAGAAGAGGAAAGACAGTAACAAGTGTTGGCCATAATGTACAAAATCAAACCCTTGTGCTCTGATATTGAGAATGTGAAATGATACAGTTGCAATGGGAAACATTATAGCAATTCCTAAAACATTAAGAATGAATTGCAAAATGGCCCATGACCAGGATTTAGAACGGCCAGGATTTAGAGAGATGCCTGATCAACTCACATTCATAGCAGCCCCAAAGAGGCGGCAAACATAGTTTCTACCCACAGATAGAGGAATAAACAAAATGTGGTATGAACACACATGGAATATTATACGAGCTTAAAAAGGAAAGGAATTGTGGCACATCTGTGAAATAGATATACCCTTGAGGCATTATGCATTCACTTAGCATTATGCTAAGTGAAATAAGCCAGTCTTAAAAGGACAAATACTGTCTGATATAAGGTGCCTCAAGTAGTCTAATTCATAGAGATAGGGAGTAGGATGGTGGTTGCCAGGAAAAGGGGGAAGAGGAGAACGGAAAGTTAGTATTGAATGGGGACACAGTTTTAATTCAGAGATGGAACAAAATCTGGGGAATGGTGATGGTGATTGGATTGTAATGAGTATGTGTTATTGTTGGTGACCTCTATACTTAAAAATGGCTAAAAAGGTAAGTTTTTTTGTCATGTGTGTTTATCACAGTAAAAATATAGAATAAAAAATAATTACACTCAAATTGTCTCCAAAAATTGAAGAGGAGGAATACCTACTAACATTCTGTGATGCTGGCATCATCTTGATACCATAGCCACAGACGATGCATGAAACTGAAGACTAATAGCCCTTGGGAATATTGATGAAAACACCCATGACAACTAGTTCTAACATATTTAAGAGATTATACCCCATGACTAAATGGGGTTTATCCCAAGAATGCAAGAGTGATTAAACTTGGAAAAAATTAATGTTAAATGATGAACATTTCAATAGGGAGAGAAAAGGCATTTGTCAAATTTCAACACCCTTTCATGATTAACAAAAGACGCATAACAGACTAGAAATAGAAGGAAACTTAATGTGATAAAGGACTTTTATGAAAAGCACAGCCAATATTCTGCTTGGTGGTAAAAGACTGAGGCTGTCCCCTAAAGAGGGGCTGAGCAGCCAAGAGTGGTCATTTTCCACACATTCTCAGTGTTGTGATTAGAGTTCCAGCCACAACACTACTAGGCAAGAAAAAGAAAAAGCATACAAATTGGAAAGGAAGAACTCTTTGTAATTTAACATAGCATGATTCTGTATATAGAAAATCCCACAAATGCACTCAGACGCAATACTGCTGGAGCTAAAAATGAATTCAGCAAAGCTACAGGGTACAAAATCTAATAAACAAAAGTCGGTGGCATTTTTATTCACCAGCAATGAAAACTTTGGAAAGGACAGTCATAAAAATAATTCCTCTTTCAATAACTTCCAAAAGAATAAGGCATCTAGGAATAGAATAACCCAAGAGGCGAAAAACTTTTCAAAATTCAAATCACAGAAACATGGGTATAAAGAAGTTAAAGAAGACCTAATTAAATGGAAAATCATCCCATGTCTGTGAATTAGAAGGCTTAATATTGGTAAAATGTAAATACTCCTTCAAGTGATGTATGGAATGAATGCAGTCCCTATCAAAATCCTAGTGGCCTTTATGGTGGCAGAAGTGGAAAAGCAGATTCTCAGGTTCCTATGGTATTGCAAAGAAATAGCCTAACCCATGCTTGAAAAGAAAAAAGAAAATGTTAGAGGGCCCACATTTCTTCATTTCAACACTTACTATAAAGCTACAGTAATTAAGTGTTGCTCATATAAGGATAAACATAGAGGCTGGTGGAATAAAATTTGAGAATCTAGAAATAAATCCAAACATCTATAACCAACTGATTTTTGACAAGGGTGTTCATAGAGGACAATGACTTTCTTTCATTGATAATTGAACTGGGAGAGACTGGTCTCTAACAGATGGTATGAAGAAAACTGTATCTGTGTACAAAATAATGACCCCTACCTTGCTCCATATACAACCAACTGATCAAAGACCTAAACAGAAAAATTAAAAATATTAGAAGAATACATATTAGATAAAACTTTAAGACCTCAAATTTGGCTATGGATAACAATCATAAAAAAAGGAAGTTAGATTATTTGTACTTCTTCAAAATTAAAAATTTGCATATCAGAGTACATCATTAAATACATGAAAATATAGTCTATAGATGGGAAAAATTATTACAGATCACACATTTTAGAAGATGTTATTATCCAGCCTATACACCAGCCTATCCACAGACCTTTTAAACCTAACACAGTGTGCATGCCTGTAGTCCCCATACTCTGTGAGGCTGAGGCAGGAAGATTTACAAGTTTGAGGCCAGAATGGGCAACTTAGACATTTAGCAAAGATCCTGTATCAAAACTTTTTAAAAATGAAGAAAGAATTAGAGTTACAGTTCAATACAAAAGTTCTGGGTTCAGTTCCTGGTGCCAAAAACATGCAATTTTTACAATGTAAGAACAAAAAGACAAATTTCAAAATGGGCAAAAGACCAAAACAGTTTTCTAAAGACACACAAATGGCCAACAGTTACATGAAGAGGTGTTCAATGTCTTTGGTCATTAGGACATACAAATAAAAATCACAATGAAGATAACATTTCACATGTATAGTGATAGCTGTAATAACATTTTTTTAAAAAAAAAGAACAGAAAATGACAAGTATTGGCAAAGCTGAAGAGAAATAGGAACTGCAGGTCATTGCTGGTGGGGATGTTAAAAACACAGCAACTGCTGTGAAAACATTTGGAAGTTCCTAAAAAAAGCTGAGCATAAGATTACCATGTGACCCAGCAATTCTACTCTGAGGTACACAGCCAAGAAACATGTCTGTGTAGAAACTGGCACGTGAATATTTATAGTATGATTCATCATACTAGCCAAAAGGTGGTGATATCACAAATGCCCCTGAATCGAGGGGAGCTCCTTCAGCCATAAGATGAAAGGACATTCGGACACATACTACAGTTCAGATGGGCCTCAAGCACATTATAGAGAGTGAAAGAAGCCAGACAGAAAAGATCAGATTTTTAAAATCTCTTTTTATTAAATATCCAGACTAAACAAGCCTAGAGGGAGAGATAAGATTGGTAGCTGCCAGAATATGGGGTAAGGAGCAAGGGGTGATTAATAAATGTGTGCAGGACAGTCTTGTGGGATTATGGAAAAAATTTGAAACTGGAGAGATGGTTGTACAATATTGTAAATGTGCTAAGTACCTCTGAATTATTTATTTTAAATGATTAATTGTATGTTATATGAATTTCAGCTCTATTAGAAAACCCAAGCTTCTGGCTGGTCGTGTACACACTACTGACACCATAGAAAGCTAGCCTCAGGGGACACAGTGCCTCTCATAGAGTGGAGGAGGGGTCACCTGAGCATCAGGGTGGGCAAAAGATCATGGAGCCTGAATTGGCAAAGGACTGTAGAGTGCAGAGCCTTTCAGCAGTTAAATGTTGGAAGTACATGTGTAGGATCTAGAACCCTGGAGCTGAGAACCTGAATGTCATTGGAAAGCAGGTCTGGCTGGCACTGGTCAAAGCAGAGTGCTCCTTGCTATCTGAACAGCCCCACACAGCAGTGGTTGGAAGACGAGGGTGGAGTTAGAGGGCAAGCTGAGGTCTCTCTGTGTCACCTCTTCTTCTTCCTGTCCTGCAGATGTTGAACCTCTTTGTGGCTGTGATCATGGATAATTTTGAGTACCTCACGCGGGACTCTTCCATCCTAGGGCCTCACCACCTGGACGAGTTCATCCGGGTCTGGGCTGAGTACGACCCGGCTGCGTGGTGAGTGAGCCCCAGTGCTCAGTGGTCCTTAGGGATGTCCTTACCCATGGCTTCTGGGACAGTGTAGGGATGGCCTTGGACATATTTCACGTGAGTGTTCCCTTTAGGTGTCAGTCTTGGACCCAGGGTCTCTTGCTCTATGTGGAATGGTACTGGTGACCCCTTTGAGTGATCCTTCTCTAGTCTTGTATGCCTTGATGTGACTCCAGGGCTAGAGACATTTGAGATCCTCAGTTGCCCTTCAGAAGGATGCCTGTGCCTAGGTGTCCTGTGAGATTTGGGAGGTTTATGAGGCTTGGGGCTCGTCATGCATGGATGTTTCCTGCCTTCTCCCAAGGTTCATCTGTATTGGATAGTGTGGAGACAGTATGGTTGCACCATTCTGTGACACTCAGGCGGCAAAAGTAATATGGGCTTTTTGGATATTTCCCCTGGGTGACTCAAGAGTCTTCTCTGCCATCTCCCTTGGGGACAGGAGCCAACATGTGCCTGTGTTCTCAGCCATGTTCACAGTGGGTACTTCATGAACTTGGATTGAAGCCAGAGAAACCACCAGGCAGCCTTTAGTAATGTTCACAACCCATTGGGAAAGGCAGGAAATGGTTACCATATGAATTCCCTAAGTGAGGAGCGAGCCATTTCCAGACTGAGTGGGGCTTCATGGAGGGTATTGGAATCAGATGAGATTGGTTGAGACTGTTGTCCATGGAAGCGCCCTGCACTGTGCTGTGCTGTGGGCAGGGCAGAGACCGCATTTGGGCTCATACCATCTACCTGTCCGTGCCTCACCTGCACCACCACCTCCGCCCATGCATCTCTACATCTGCACTCCCCTTCACTCTCACCTGCTCATTCACATGTTCATTTGCTTCCTCCTTTGCTTGTTCACTTACCTGCTTAGTCATTTAACCATTCATTCACTAATTCACTCACTCATTTACCGTTTCACTACTTCAATTATTCACTCTCTGCTCATTCACTTATTCACCTGCTCTTCTGTCCTTCACTTTTTCACTCACTCACCTGCTACAGCAGTAGCTACTGAGAACTGGTCCCTGCAAGGCAGACATAGGAGATGTAGGACTGATATCGGACTGCTAGGTAAGAACAGGCCCGCTCGTGCCGTGCACCCCATGAGTGCTCAGAAACCATGAATGAATGAAGAGAAAAGATGACCATGGACCTGCATCTAGCTCCCTGGCTGCCCTTGTCCACCATGTATGACTCTGCATTCTGTACCCTGCAGAGAGAATGCCTGGAGGAAGTGGTCAGATTCCTGTTGGTGAGGCTCCTGCTGCCCACAGGCTCCTTGGGTTTCCCCTGGCTGTGAGGAGTCCTCCACAGACCCTGAGGGCTTGGCCATGCTCCCTTAGCTCCCTTTGCTCCTTTATCCTCCATCTGGGCGCATTGGGAGCCAGGGATGCAGGCCTATTCTGTCTAGGCTTTTCCACACCAATAGCATCTCCATGTATATCCTCCATTTTAATGAGTTTAGTTTCTGCACAGTACTGAGGAAGCATAGAAGTTGCTTATGTTTCTTGGTGTACATGACCATTTTCTTGGCTTTAGAAGCCCCACCATATTGGATAATTACACATCTTCGTCCTATAGTACCCACATTATGCTGGCACACACAGGTTCAGGGATCTTTTAGTGGGTCCTGTGGTCAGGAAGGCCAGTCATATGTGGGATGTGTCAGGCAAAGGACAGGAACATCTGGAACTGAGGCATCATTCAGGCATGTCTTAGGGGCACCACTCTGACTCTGATCTGGAGTCTTTGCTGTTTCGGGAGCATTTTCTCAAGAGGAATGTGTTTGAGCCAGGGATTTAGCTCAATGGCACAAGTGCCTGCCTGACAAGCACAAGGTCATGAGTTCAATCCCCAGTACCAAAACAAAAACAAAAACAAAAAAAACCAAGGAGTGTGTTGCAGAAAACTTACTTTGTGGGATATAATCTGCACTAATGGGCAAAGGTCAGAGAGAGAACGAGAGAAAACACCCTTGAATCTTTATGAATTGCATACCCAGGCCTTCCACAATACACCATGGCTAAAGGTGGACCTGGGTTGATTGCAGCTTTGTAATATGCACAGTGAGGGCCCGACCTATTTCCCAAGTTCCAGAAATGGGAATAGGGGATTCTGCAAGACAGTGGCTATTGGGCATATGATAAAGTGCCAAAGAGTAGAAAACAAAGATAAGCTTTGTCCCAGAGATGGCACACCAGGTCCTACACAAGCCTGTGAGCCTAAAGTGACAGACGTGTCCTATGAGCAGCACACACAGCTCTCCTCACAAATCCCTCAGCCAAGGTATAGTCCCAAATGGCCTGAGAAGGCTAGTGGCAGCTGAGCAGGCAGGTGTGGATCCCAGGTCTTCAGCACTATGGAGACACATGACCACTTTTGGTTGTCTCTTTAGTATTTGAGAGACACTTTGAAACTACAAAACTGTTAATTTTTCAACATTTTCATGTGTGTATATGTGTACATGTGTGGCTGTGTACATACATGTGTGGCTGTGTATGTGTGCACAAACACAGATGTGTACATGTGTGCATATGCATGCTTACATCTGTGTGCATGTTTACACATGTGTGATTACATTGGTGAGTGTCTGTGAACCCATGTGTACTGTGCACATGTGTACATGTCATATGTGTGTTCATCTTGATTCTGTGTGCAGGTATATGTGTACATGTATTTGTGCACTTGGGTGGATCTAGGCAAATGTGTATATGCACATGTTTTTGTATGTACATGTGATAGTTTCTCTCTGGGTAGATGTACAAGGGAACTGTACATTTGTATGTGCTTGTCCATGTGTGATCAGTTCATATGTGAGAGTTTATTGCATGTCTGTATGCACATGCCTATGTGTGTTGTATGTGTGTGTGCCAGCACAGGTGCATGTATGTAAGCACATGCATACTCTGGGAGATTTCAGAGTGGTTGATATTTGGAGCTGCTTTTCTCTGGCTTCTCTTTTGTTGTTACCTCAAGACTTTGAAGTGTAAAGACTCAAAGGAAGAATCAGAATCACACTTCTTAGAGCAGTCTGTCTGCTCAGTTTATGTTCACCTACTTGTCCAGTAGGCATTTTTTCAGCATCTGCTGTGTTCTGGGCCCAGGGTGACAAGGTGAAGCAGGCACATGCTCTCAAAACACTTAGCTAGGTTGGCAGAGGCTAGAGCTCAAAGCTAGGATATCTGAGGTGGGAAATACTGTGTGTCATCTGAGCTGAACCCAAGGAGGCAAAGTGGTTGGTGCCCTGGAGAAGGCTAGGGTGGGTGCAAGGCAAGGGAATGTCCAGGTATTCTGCACCAGACTGGGGTGGAGAAGCCAGACTGGGGTGGAGAAGCCAGACTGGGGTGGAAAAGTCCTAGGGACGGGGCAGGCCTTCGGATGTGGTGTTTAAAAAGGAGCTTTGAATTTGTTTTATGGACAGTTTTTGAATCAGGGAGTGACAGTATTGGCCCACACTTTTCGTTTGGTGCCATCTCACAGGTCTGGTGAATAGGGGTGCCTATGCCCCCTGTTCTTGGTAATAGTCTCCAGGGTCTAGCAAGGTTAGCAAGCACCTTAGGTAAGGCCAAAGTGGGGCTTCCTCTTTCTTCCCTCTTTTCCAGAAGTAAATTCAACCTAACTTGAAGTCAGTTGAACTGAGGGAGGCTACAATGTAGAAGAGAGAAGCATCAGTGCCTGTACTGGGAGGAGATTGTCTTTAGCGGATTAACAGGTTCCAGGGTGAAAGATAGGGGCAGTCAGGAGGCATCTCTGCAGTGGACATGTAATTCTGTGGCTGTGGTGGAGAGATAGATGCATGAGAGCCAGGGTCAGAGGGAGACTTGGAGAGGGCTCTGGCATTGGGAGAGGAGAAAGAGGACTGACAGAGCTGGGCAAGCCCAGGCCAGACTGACCAGGACAGGCAGGGTAGTGTGTACAGAGTAGATACTCTGCAGGGGCCAGTGTGAGAGTAATATGTCGTGCTCTATGGAGCATACAGCTGTTCTGTGTGGAGTGTTGCCTGCCTGCCTTGGGTTCTAGGAATCATCTTGGCTTAACATACCTCCTGGACTGCTCTAGCAGTCTAGTCTAGGAAAAGAGAGCACCCTGGCCAGCCGTACCCCTCACTGCCACTATGAGGCCGCATCTTCCCGTTGCAGGCTGGGTGGGTGGGTGGGTTGGGCTCCGTCGTGCCTTTGTTGCCATAACCTGTGACATTTCCTTTCCAGTTGCCGGATTCATTATAAGGATATGTACAGTTTGTTGCGTTGTATTGCGCCACCCGTTGGCTTAGGGAAGAACTGCCCTCGTAGGTTGGCCTACAAGGTTTGCAACTTCAGAGCCTCCATCCAACATACTTCCCTGTCCGAACCGCAAACACAGCACACACTCCCTGCCTGGTTTGGGAATGACAGCACCTCACCTCTTTCCTCTTGTCCTGCCCTGCCCCGCGCTCCGGCCTCCTAGATGCTTTGGTTCCCTGTCTAATCTCTCCAAACCCTCCATCTGGCTGGGGCAGGCAGCCTTCAGAGACAGCACACAGAACTTCTGGCTGGGTTGTGTTGGTCAGGACCAGCAGTCTGGTGGATGCTTGGGGCCAGCCAGGTCCAACCTGTACCACAGAAGCAGCTATCTGACCCACTTTTTCCTACAGGCTCTTGTGGGTAGGCTGATAGGCCAGAGGTTCAAGGCCCAGAGAAGGGGAATGTGGGTACAAGTAAACCAGGAGCCTCTCTTGGTCAGAGAGGCTTTCAGATCCCTAAGGGAGGAGAGAACAGAGGTGAATGGGGCCCAAAGACAAACTGTCTTATGTCACCTCTAGACTGATCATTCTACCCAACAGAGGAGCTTTCTGGTCTGAGACTGTGGGAGGAGGGCAGATTCTGGGCAGATCTTGCTAGGAAAAGACCAAGCCTAAACTTACTGTGTCTCTGGGATTCCAAGCCCTCAGGAAAGTGCTTTCAAAGCTAAGAAAGGTCCCAAGTCTGGGGAAGACTTGCCACCAGCTCCCAGGTGCCTCCTGTGTCCAGCTGAGGTTCCAGCTTCTACAGGAGGCTTGCCTTGCCTGTTGGTGGGCACCTGAGTGGTCAGGCAGCACAAGAGTGGCCAGGATCACATCCGCCCAGCGCCTCCCCTCCCCGCAGTCTCTTCCCTCCCAGCCCTGACCCCAGCAGCAGCCCTGCCCTGGCCGCCTCGGGCGTCTCTGGGCTTGGAGCAGGACTTGCCCTGTGGTCAAGTTTGGCTCTAGAGCTTTGAATATCCCTCTCTGGTTTTCTTTTCTCCACTTTAGCCTCTGTTCTCACTTGGAAGCAAATCTGACTGTTTAGACAGCTGGTGTTGCTGCTGTGGTCTCAGCCACAGCCCCATCTCCACAATCAGCCAGCATTTCCCTTATGATAAAACAGCTCTTTTCTGATTTGGCCTTATCTGTGGTTCTAAAAGTAAAATCAGAAATTTACAACCCAAAGCCGCTCCGATGCAGCCCTTCCTCCCCCTCCATGTTCATTAGCTCAGACGTCACCCCCGCCCACTGCCCTATGTGGGGCTGAAGTGAGGAGGTGAGGCTCGGGGGTGGGGGCCACAGGGGTCAAGTCAAACAGAGAAACCCCTCATTTGACCTCTCTTGATTTTGGGGTGTCACCCAGCATTTGGATTAACTAGATATGTTTTCTTGTCTGCTTCCTCCCCGCCCCTGTCCCACTCTGTCCCTCTGCTGCCTGCCTCGTCCTGTGGACCAACCCACTGTGCCTGGGCCTGTCTGGGACGGGTTTCCAGTGGGCGCATCAGTTACAATGACATGTTTGAGATGCTGAAACACATGTCCCCACCTCTGGGGCTGGGGAAGAAATGCCCTGCTCGAGTTGCATACAAGGTAGACCCTGACCCTGTACCCATGCCCCAAGAGCTGTCTGTGCGGGGCTGGGCTGCCCTGGCCTCCTCCCGTCTGCAGGGCACTCCTGGGCTCTCCCTGCTGCTGCTTTTGCAGGGCTCACCCAGCTGTCTGTCTGCACCTGGCTGCCTCATTGTTCATCGCCTCCACCCTGCCTGTCTCTGCTCCCATCCTAGGCAGAGGGAACTTTGCTGCTATGAGGCCTCTGCAGCGGCTCCTGATACCCATCTGTGCCCTCTCCTGACAGCCCAGACAGGCTTGGAAGATGGAGCCATAGCCTGCCCCCCTTCCCTTCTTTTTCCAGGAAAGATGGCACAGACCCATTTTCTTAACAGAGATTGTTTTGTCCTGGGTTCAGGGCTACCTGCTGCCCTGTGTCCTAAGGTGCCCAGGGTCCAGCCTTTGAGGACAGGTGGGACCTGTAGAAGCTCTGGTGCTATACACAGACATACACACACCTCACTGAGTTGAGCTAGTGTCCGACAGCAGTCTGCAGAGACTTCCTGGCCTGCTGTGGGAAGGAGCCACTGTGGCACTGACAAAGTAGGCTGTGAGGGAAGGTGTTGCCAGCCTGCCCAAGGTTTCCCAGTCCGCTACAGGAGAGGAACAATCTCAGGTCCAGAGTTCCAGAAGGCTAGGCTGCATGGAAAAGGCAGGCCAGGATACCTCCAGCCTCCATCCTGGAGTGTGAGAGGGGTGCACAGCTCCAGCTCCATACCTGCTCACCTGCCTGTGCCGCCCCCAGGGACTCCACTCACCTGGTCCCCTCTGCTAGCTCCCACTGCTCACCAACAAGCTATCTGAGAGGGCTGCACTGGGTCTCTCCCATCCAGTCTTCGTGCCCTGTACGACGTCATTGCCGCCTGATCCAGTGCAGCCTATGGAGTTGTGCAGCTCCTCCCAGCCACAGAGATGCCTCTGGTGTCTCCTTTGGCCCCTCCTCTGCCCATACTCGCATGTGTGTTGCACTTGCATGCAAGGCTGTAGACCTGTCCTAAAGGGTAGAGCTCTGTCCATACTGACACTGGGCTGGGCAGGCAGTGCGGTGAGGCCCTTCCAACCACGCCTGCTAATCTCTAGGTTCTGGGCAGGGTAGGGACAAAGGACTTGGGCAAGCTGGGATACCTAGAGCACTATGGAAGACACTGTAGCTTTGCCTTGTCCTTGCCCCTCAGCATCTTAGCTCCTAGCCCATTGGGGCCTGGAGCAGGTGATGGGAACCCTGGTAAGGGCAGCCTCAAGAGTGCCCTGGACAGAGCTCTCCCCCTAGAGACTACCTGCTTGCTCCTTGTTCACCCCATCCCCAGTCCTCTCCTTGGGAGAGGAATTCTTCCATCTTACACTGCTATTGGTGCTGGCCTGCAGGGACTCCATGCTCTGGGAAGCAGGTTTCTCTTGATGTGCAGCACGTGTATGTGGGATCCTGGCACTGTGATTGGATGTGCCAAGTGGGGCTTTGCCAGCATTCAAGGGATAGAGTCTGGCTCATGTCTTCAGCCCCCATAAAACCCATTCACTGTCACTCTTCAGTCTCAGGATTTGAGACCAGGGTACTGTGGGCAGGGCTATGTGAAGGTCTGTGAAGTCCCCTTGACATTTGTTCTCCGCCCTCCCCAGGGGAGGAGCTGAGAGCTTGCCCTGCCATAGGACCAGGTCCCAAGGAGAGGCTACTCTCTCTAGCTCTGTCCTGTGAAGAATGTTCCTGGGACTGTGTACCTAGATAAGCATCTTAGATTCATTTCCTACTGGATGGCCTATGAACTCTCAGAGCCTGAGGCTTTAGGCAGCTGCAGGCTCAGTTTGGAAGAATGTGATGCAGACCCCTATTCATCCAGCTGTCCATTTCTGAAAACCAAAGAGAACAAAGAGGGCTGGCTACCTGAAGGGGAGGAGAAAGAAGCAGGAGCTCACAAACCCTCACATAGCTGTTGGCAAACCCGGAGGGCCTGTGAAGTCACCTTGGCATTCGTTCATTCCTACTTGAAGAAGCTGGTCTCTAAGGCTTCTCTTGCTGCCTTGAGCTGAGTTGGTCTTTGCTTTTGAGTGGCATCAAGAATGTGTTCTGGCCCCCTGGTTGGGTGGTGAGGAGCAAATATAGTTAACTGGGCCTGAGGTAAAGCTAGGGCATCTCCTTGCAGGGTACTCTCTGGGGACTGGGCCTCAGGGTGAGACTTGCTGCTACCCTTGTCCAGATGACCCAGCTGCAGGTAGAGAGGAGGTGGGAAGACCCTTGGAACTGAGGCCTGCCCTCATGCATGTGGGCTTTACTTTGGACCCTCCCTTTTTACCTTGTTTTCATCAGTGGACTGGGGCTGAAGTCCCTCTGGCTGAGGATGTCCCTGTTCTTTCAGAGAGATCCAGGCTCCTGGCCTGACTCCGTGTGTTATAGACTACCTGGATTTCTGCTTTTTCTGCAGCCAGGAGAGTCCTCAGCTCTGATAAGAAGGGTAGTAGGGGTGATTGTGAATGCTGGCAAAACTCTTCTCCACCTAACCTCGCTTAGGCCCAGGCACCTGCAGGGACCACCCTCAAGTGGCCCAGCCAGCTCCCAGGTGCCTGAAGTACTGGGTAGCCCTGGGATGGGGGTGACTCTGGTGCACCTAGACCTTACCCACTTGTCCTTGTTTCCAGCGCCTGGTTCGTATGAACATGCCCATCTCCAATGAGGATATGACAGTGCACTTCACCTCCACACTGATGGCTCTTATTAGGACAGCACTGGAGATCAAGCTGGCGCCAGGTGAGTGAGGCAGTCTCCATGTACAGGGAGCAGGGTGACAGGTTATTCTGTCTGGAGGGACAGCTGCACAAAGGACCTGCTCTATCAGGTACTGGCTTTATCCCCAAGTAATGCCTCTGTGTTAACACCATCATAACTTGTATTCAAATGGGAAACTGAGGTACAGGGAAATGGATAACCTGCTCAGAACCAGCTAGTGGTGGAACCAGGACTTGGCCCAGCCCATGCCCATGAGGAGCTGTGCCTAGTTATGGTCCCTATGTCTTTCCTCCCCTTTAGAGAGAAAATGGGAGCCACAGAGGGGACCTGCTGCCTTTTGCTTTCCCTTGCATCTGTCTGTGTTCATTCTGCAACCAGGGCCTCTTCTCACTGTCTCCCTGGACCTTCCCGCAGTTCTGTTCTCTGTTTTTTCCCATTGTTGGTTTTTCTCTTTTCTGTGTCACATCAGTATGTGAATGCACCACTGATTTCTTCAAAGATTTCTTTTCTCTCCCTTCTATTGATTTCCTTGTTTTTCTTTCTCCTGTCATAGCAACCAGCTCCCAGCAGGACTGGTCTCTGCTGTCTAATTCTCCTTTTGGTCTCCACTTGGGTTGTGGCCAACCTTTGCTGACCTGTTGTTCCGGATCACCAAACCTGAAGGTCAATCCTCAGTCCTTGTCATACAGCCCTTCTCAGTCCTTATTCTCTTCTATATGAGCCCTTTTGTGTGTCTCTTTGTGGTTTCTCTACCTCTTCACTCTGGATTGTGCTCAGAAAGTCCTCTTTTCCATCCCTGCTCAATCCTTTACCATCTCACTTGTTCCTTGTGAGTGTCATGAATACCAGTCTTAGTAATTTTAGCCCAAACTCAAACATCCTGCAAGTTATTCTTGTTTTCCTGAGGGACACTCAACATTGCACAGTTGATTTTCCTGGACCTCAGCTCCACCTGGTCCCGTATCTGTCCTAGAATCTTCAAGTGCAACTTTGTTCCTCTCACTGCTCAAGCTACAACTTTGGAGTCATTCTTACTGCCTCTTTATCCTTATCTTTCTGTTGAGTCACATCTGATCTCTTCTCATATCTTCTGACTCTGTCTCCAAAATATATCCAAAATGTGTACTGACTTCTACCTTAACCCACTTCCACTTTGTGGCCCGAGTTTGTCAGCTTGTCCCGCACTGCTGTGGCAGCCTTTGGTCTGATCTGTGTCCGCCTTCACCTCTCTCAGTTTGCCTGAAGAATGAGCAGGTTAGAAACTGGAAGACGAGACTGATCAAGAAGAGCAATGTGCACGTGATCAATGTAAGGAACAAAAGAGGGAATGTCACTGCAGATCCTGTTGACAGTAAAAGAACGTGAAGGGAGAATTATCAGTGTTATGTGGGTCAGTTCAGCAGCTTACATGAAAGGAAAAATTCCTTAAAAAAACAAACTGTCAGGCTCTTTCAAGAGCCAGGTATGCTGGCACACACCTGTAATTCCTTCACTCTGGGTGATTACAGCAGGAGGGTAGCAAGTTTGAGCCCAGTCTGAACAATTTAGCAATTTAACAAGAACTTGTCTCACAATAAAAAATTGAAAGACCTGGGGATGTAGCTCACTGTGAAGGCCTAGTACCACACAAACACATGCACACACACAAACACATATACAAAAGCTCGGGAATATTGTATGTGTTAGATAAACTAATAGTGAATAACCTTCCAATAAGTATGATTCCAGGCTGAGATGGTTTCATTGGGGAAGTCTTTTAAAACATTTGATGAAGAAATAATGTCAATGCTGTAAAATTTACAGAAAATAGAAAAAGATAAGAGTATCTAGAACCTGGCCAAGAGCTGTGATTGTGTTAAGAATACAGCGACAGGATAAAATAAGAAACAGACAAATTTAGTAATACGTGATGAATGACTGAGAAGTCATTGCCACCAGATGGACCAATAGAGTAACACTCCAAGACAGCCACTATTTATTGAGTGTATACAGTGACAGGCTGGGCTAGTGAAAGATTCAAAATCGGTGAAAAACTCAGAGGCCTATGTCATGGCAGGCAAGTATAATCTAGGGATGACTCCAAGAGGGCAGAGATGATATACTAAGAAGGATCTCATCCTGGAGTGTTTTTAGACTTAGTGGTTTTAGTTTTAGTTTTAGTAGGTGGGAGAGGACTGCCCATCCTTAAAGAATTAATGGGAAATCTAAATTGGGTGGTTCCTTAATCCCCAGCTTCCATTTTATCCCTCAGGGAAGGATGCAGAATTAGCCATTGTGAACTTGTGGTCCCCAACAACAGCATTTCTAACCTACTTTATATGAGCTTTACTCTGATACAAAAACGAGACAAAGATATGACCAGAAAATAAAACTATAGAACCATATGCCTCATAAATATAGATAAAAAATTTCAACACAATTTTAGCAAACTGAGTCTAGCAGTACATCAAAGATAATACATGATGGTACAGGAATTCAAAGAGGATTCAGTGAAACTCCATTTAAATTTTCCACATTAAGTAATAGAACCTATACGATGTCTTAGTAGAAAAAGCATTTGACAAAATTCAGCATGTGTGCATGATTAAGTGGATCTAAACTAGGAATTAAAGGAAACTTCCTCTACAGCAGAAAAGTACAGCAAATGTCAAGTCTGACAAAGAAAGGCCATGATCAGGAGCCAGAAAAAGCTACTGTTACCACCACGTTCAGTGTAGCACTCAAGGTCCCAAGGCAAGACGTGGTGACAACAGAAAATGGAAATACCTCTGTGCAAATCAAAATGATTACTATGTAAAGGAGCCCAAAAGTATATTTTAAAAGTTACTGAAACTAATAAGTAAGTGTACAAAAAGTTAGATTTCTGTGTACTAACAATGAATAATTAGAGTGGAAGCAAAAGTTCCATTAAAATGGCATCATAGCCACGAAACACTTCTGTTTCTGAAAACATTTCTGTTTCTGCTGGATAACTGAAAAATGCCTATGCAAGATATGTATGTTACAAATTTCAAAACATTCATAACAGGAACCAAGACCTACATAAATTGAGCAATCATGCATGGTGGTGCACGCCTGCAGTCTCAGCACTTGGGAATCGGAGGCTGGAGGATCCAATCTGGGCCATCCTTGGCTGCATGATGAGACCCTGTGTCCAAACAAACAAACAAACAAACAACTAACTAAATAAATTGAGCATTCCAGAGCATATTCATGGGTGTAAAGACTTAACATTGGAAAGACATCAGGTCTCCTCATATCGACCATTAAAATTAATGGTATTCCAATCCTTTGGATCCTTCGGGTCCTTTGGGTCCTTTGGATTGGTAATCCAATCCTTTGGCAGTAATTTAGAAATCAATCCTAAAATTTATGTAGAAAAGCAGAAGAACCAAGAGGATAGTTTTCAAGAGCAAAGTTCAAAAGCTACCTTGGTCAAGGTATAAGTGGCAGGATACAGATATTAGAACAGTGGAATAGAGTAGAGATGTGTATCGTGTGCTCAAATGGTTTTCAACAAAAATGTGAAGACAGTTAATAGCGAAAAGATCATCATTGCTAGCAAATAGTGCTTGAAAAATTTAAACAACCATATGGAAAAAGGAAAAAATTCTTGACTCAAGCTACCTTACTTACTCAGGCTGCTAGCACAAAATACCAAAGACTGATTGCTTTAAATAACAGAAATTTATTTCTTACCGTTCTGGAGGTTGATGTCCAAAAGGAATGTGTTGGCAGATCGATTATATTGTGAGGCCTCTCTATTTGGGTGGTAAACAGCTCTTTTTGCTTTGCTGTTTCATGGCCTTTTCTCTATGTGTACAGGTGAAAGCATACTTGAGAGATTTCTGGTGTTTTCTTATAAGGACACATCCTCTGGAGCAGAACCCACCTTCATGAACTCATTCAATATTAATTATTTTTTTGTAGGCACAGTGGTGGTCAGGGCTTCTGAATATGAATTTTGGAGGAACACAGTTAAACACATAGGATGCATTACACTTTCACCTTCTACCGAACTTAACTTGCAGTAGATCATAGACATACATGTAAAATCTGAAATGTAAAACTTTTAGAATAAAATACAGAAGAAAAATTTTGGCAACTTTAGGTTGGGTAAAGATTTCTTAAGGTACATAATGCATGAACCATAAATTGATAAGCTAAACCTCATTAAAATTAAAATTTTGAGTGATATGGGGCACATTCCTGTAGTTTTAGCTTTAAGAGACTGAAGTAGGAGGATTGCAAGTTGGAGACCAATCTGGGCAATGTAGTCCCTTTGTCAAAAAATTAAAAAAAGCTGCGAGTGTAACTCTATGGTAGAAAGCATCCTCGGCATGCATAGTGCATGGGATTTTTTTCCCCAACACACTCACATATGAAAAATGGAAAACTCAATGAAAATGTCAAAAAAGACTTGAATGCACATTGAAAGAGTTTTCGGGGCGATAAAAGAGAGAATGTAAAGTAAAAATAGCCTTTATTCCAAAGATGTGGAAAGAAGTCCATGACCACTAGTGGTCTGGCTTTCTTTGGCCAGAACGTGGGGCATGGGATACACATATAACCTCTGATCACGGGTGGCACTTAGGCTGGGCACTGATGAGGTGCAAGGAACTGATTGGAGTTTTCTTTACGTGCAAACAGGAAGGGAAGTTGCAGTTAAGGCTGAGGAAGAAGCAGGAAGTGGTAGGTGGTCCTACTTTGGCCTTCTGCCACATTAGACCACCGCCATAACCCTACAGTAATTTACTCTAGGGCAAGAACCTTTCATTCTCATGTCTTTATTGTTAGGAAAAGGGCGAAGTCTCTCTTACTCAATACGGGACGCTGTATTGGGGTTTAGGAAGGTTGACAGGATGATGGTTGATTCCCATGCAGAAACTGATACCAGGTGTTTTAGCCAGGACAACTTTATCATTGGTAAATGCCTGCATCTTAGACTGGAAAAACAAAGAGACAAGGTGCTATGAGAAGGCAGACCACTATCATATTTAAGGGTCCAGAAAAGGAGAAGG